AATAATGTAAATGATTGAATATGTTTACTATCTTAGTGATATATTACAGTTTCATAAATATTATATAACTATTTAGTTACATAAATTATGGAATAATAATTAAAAAGCGTTGTCTCCTTAGTTACTCCAACAGTTTTCAATTGTGTTTCTTTAATTTTAACACTATGATATACGACTTAATGAAATAATATATTTTTGATGTTTTGTTTCTATTAACACTTTTCTATTCAATATTTTTTTACGTCTCCCTTTTTTATAACACACTTATGTAAGCAAATCTAATAAAACTTGGAACATCTTATTAAACTAGATAATTTTATATTCATTTAAACAATATCTCTGTATAACATTTAAAACACTCACTACAATTAAAAAATCTACTCAAATATCTTTAATTAAAGTTGGTATAAGTAGATATTAAGAATAAATCACTAAGTTTTTATTCGATCCACTTAGTAAACGATCAAGAAAAAATATATAATAAGTAATTCCTTCATTTTTGATTAACTTACAAACGTATCTTACACTGTTTCATATAATTTGTAATTTTCTTTTTCAATAAATTAAAATGTTTCTTTTAAAAAAAATTGCACTGACATTAAATATTTGTGAAAATAATGATAGTTACACACGCATATTTCGAAAAGAAAAAAAACGATACTACAGAAAAGGAGAAAAGGAAGAAGAACATGCTCTACCTAGTAGATTTATTTAGTTCAAAATAAAGAGATGTATGCAAATGCAATAACTCTTATAGAAAAGAAAAAAAGGAGTAATCATGAAAAATTCTCTTTTTTTCTATAAATTAACTAAATAAAACAATGCTTTGAGGAAAAAAACAACAACAGTATAAGAGAAAATATAAGAAACAGAAAGATAGGATTTGATGATCGATCACTCAGTCAGTCAGTCAGTCAGTCAGTCAGTCAATCAGTCAGTCAGTTAAAGGAAGATTAAAAAAATCCACAATCATTCAATGAAACAAACGATTATAACCTAGAAATTATTTGTTCTAGAAAAAAGAGAAAGAAGATAAGAATTGACTGTATGTATGCTGGAATATATTGAATAGGAAGGTTATGTTATGACCGAAATTTATATATATATATATATATATATATATATATATATATATATATATATATATATATATATATATAACTGTGTGACGTTTGTGCTTGTCAGCATGCTTCACCCAACCAGTTGATATATCACTATTATGATTGTTGCTGTACAGATTTTTCAGTGTGACAGAAAAAAGTATCGGAAACAAAAAGAATTTTTAGTTCTTCTGTAGGTTATTGTCAGTAAAATTTTACTAGAATCAATTAAATAGGAAGTAAGATAAAAAAGCAAAGTATATAAAAACCATAATCAATTGACCTTGTTACTTAAGTAGCTCAAATTCATTACTTTAAAGATTTTTTTATTTTTAGCATAATTTTCTATTCATCTTTTATTGGACTTATATAATAATATAAGATGAAAAGCACTGAACATACAAGAAGAAAGCGAAAAATTGGTATTCATAAAAAACCGTATAATACTTATTCAATCAGACAAACTCTAGAAGTTTACAATAAACTTAGTTCTTTTTTGGTAAAAACAATCAATAGTTACAAATGACTCAAGTAATATTATGCGCGCTTCTCCACTAGACAACTGTGTTAATGTCTAACTTTAACCACTCCACAAAATTGCTTGACCATTCTCGCGCGCAAGACCGAAGGTCCTAGGGTCGAATCTCGCATGCGAGATCGTATGTGCGCCCTGTCGAGGGGTCCCATACTAGGATGAAATGGCCATCCAGTGCTTCCAGGTTTTCCATGGCGGTCTAACACCAATCGATTCATGATCTCAATCAAATACTTTATAATAATAACAACCCCACACTGTTGATTAAATTGTGTCAAAGTAATATGAAATAACGATTGTGAGTAAACATGATTGAAAGGAAAATAAAGCAAAAGGAAACAATTTATTATAGTCACAATGTCTTCTTGATTACTGTGATTTTTATTTAGTAAACAGAAGGGTGGCTTGTGACAAGATACCCGTCTTCTGATAAAGGTTCAGTATACTGCTTCGTTGTACTCTCCTTCGTAATTTAAGAACATGAAGTGTGACTTTTAAAAAAGTGGAGATATTCATAGGTTATTAGTATTCGATTATAGATGCCTTCAAACATATTGGAACCATCGAGTTAGTAAATACAAAGTTAATCGTAGGGTACTGAGCAAAATTAATAAATCCATTGATGTAACGAGTCTTTATCGACCGAGATTATTAGGATGTGAAAGACGTATTCCCATCCGATGCATAACTTGACACATCATGATGAATTGTCTAGAAGTAAGATGAAGGTAGGCTGGAGCTTAACTAAACCAAAATGTAGTATCAGTTATATAATGACATTAACTGACGAATTAATCAAATTATGTAAGTGCTGACTGCCTAGTTAGGATTAGCGTAATTATCATAACCGATAGCTCAAGATCCTTCACAACGGCACAGCCGCTTTAGATCACAAATCCCTTAATTACCTTATAAATTATTTTTTATTTGGTTAATCAATATTTTCCTCTCGAATCATATCTTGTGTGCTCCATCTTTTCTACTACCACCGATACTGTTGCTATTTTGTTACTACTGGATTTGCCGAGGCTTTGTTAATAGAGTGTGATAGCTTATATCAAGGTATACATATGCTAGGTTCAATGTTGCATACGACTGATAGAAATAAAAGGGAATGACTCTGTTGTTTGTTGGTTGCACTGACACTTATACATTTTCAGTTTTTTTTCTTCTTTTATATTATCCGTGCTGAATCCTCACCTATATTAAATCTTTTCAATTGAATTTATTCATCATTTTAAAAAAAAATAAAAACTGAACAATGAAATAGTCAACAAAATTACTTTAAAACTACTTAATTGTCAAGGAAACTAATTATAGATGACTATTAGAAGTGTTCAGTAAAACTAATCAAGCTAAGAGAATAATATTTTGATATCGAACAATATCATACAGTTTTATTGATTTCTTTTACCTACTCATAATGAGAGAGAATATTTGAATTGGAAAGAAATTCAAATGTTTTTTTGCTCATGTTAATTCTCATTGTTCTATAAAACGTTTCGAGTTCAAGTAACAATTTACTTGAACTCAATATAAATGTCGAATATTATTCTGCACAAAAGAATTATGCTATGTATAGATATAAGATTGTTACATTTGACTTCCAAAGTTGATAATATTACAATTCTTAAATCTATTGTATTATTCGGAATTATTTTAGTTCTGTACATATTATTATAACAATTCACAATCACATAGAAAAAAACATTTTTGCATCATTAGCAAGGATTGACATGATAATTTCAAAATAGAGCGAAATGGCTGTCCAGTGCTTCCAGGTTTTCCATGGTAGTATAACTTCATGTAATTCATGATTTCAATTATTGGAATTACTATAATATCCACAAAAACCTATCTGACATGAATCAACACATCCTCACTAGTGACTGGTTTCGAAAGGTATTTCCTGAAGTTCTAGTGAGAAGCTGTGGTCAGAGGAGTTCAACCATGTCTGTTGTGAGATACTAACTCACTTAAGACGATGGTGGATGTGTCGCTCAACTTCATGGATTAATTGAAGTTAGACATTAACACCGTTTGATGCCGACCCAGTTGTCCAGAGGTTAGGCGCTCGCGCGCGAGACTGATAAGTCTTGGGTTCGGATCTCGCGAGGTGGGATCGTGAAAGGACACCACTAAGGAGTCTCAAAATTAGAAAAACAGGCCATCCAATTCTTTCAGCACTTCCATTGCGGTCTAGTCTCAATTGACTCATGATTTCAACGATTTAAATTTAGAAGTTGAGCATTGAATAAGTCGTTAAAAATAGAAAACATTATATATATATAATGTCTAAATAATGTAAAAAGGATTTTCCAACTGTGAAGAAAGACGACTGGATGAAGACTCTCATATGTTGCTAAACCTTAATGCCTTCAATAGAAAGGAACACCTAACTATCCATTTTATATAGACTACTCATCCGTACATTCAAATATTTAATTAAATTCACGTTCCATAACACTAACAACAAGCATAAAAATATTTTAATCGATACTTTTTCACATTATAAACATCAGCTATTCCACACTCATTAACACACAAAATACGAGGTCTCACAAAGAATCACCTTGAGTAAAATGATATGTGATCAGTCCGTTTCCATTATACTAAAAGGAATTCTGCTTTGTTTGTTTTGCTATAATTTATTTGATTATTTATTCTCTGAAGGGGCAATTTATACTAGGTAGTAAAAGGTCGGAAAAACATTTTCCAGCCCAATAAGATTTTACCAATACACATATATCATTATCATTAAAAACAAAATGTATACTCTACAAATCCTCTAACTTTTCATATGTTATATAAAATGATATAAAATTAAGCGAAAATAAATAAAAACATATTATTAGTAAAAACAATTAAAGATTTTATAAAAAAAATTATTAATTCAATTCATGAGTCGATTAAAACTAAACCACTATAAAAAAAACCTGGAAGCACCGGATGGCCGTTTCCATCCTTAGCAGTGCGCACCCACGATCCCGCTCGCGGGATTCAAACGTAGGACCTGCGGTCTCACGCTTAACCTCTAGACTACTGAGCAAGCATCCAACAGTGTTAATGTCGTCCAATGTTTCAGGTTTTCCATGATGGATTAGCCTTAATCTACTCATGAATTCAACCATTAAATTACTACAATCTGCGCAAAACCCCCTTTCTCATACAAAAAATTGAACCAAAGAATTTACAAACTTATTTTCAAATATATTACTTTTTGCCAATACAGTAGCATAATACTATTTTTATTACTTCATACAGCAAAAATATCAATATCTATTTATTTATCGTGTAGAAATGGATAAGTAATTGAATAATAATTCATAGAAAATGATAACTCAAATAATAATATACTGACTGACCTGATAATAACATTGGATCAATGTTTTCACCTTTCTTCACTTGATCCGGTTCACCAGTTAATGAGCTTTCATCAACCTTTAAATCATTACTTTGAAGAATTACTCCATCAGCAGGCAGTAGATCACCTGTAAAAAGAATCATAAAAACATGACGTGTAATACTAAAAAATGAAAACTCAAAGTAGGGTTAGAATATGGCAGATGGTTACGCAACATCGAGAATGAACCGGGGTTAGATATGCAGACCAATAGATATCAGCTAAGTGGTCTAAAGCTTAAACAATTGCATGTAAGAACGAAGGTTCTAGTTTCTAATTTCCTGCGGTGGGACAGTAGATGCATATTGCCGAGGGGTCTGACACTAAGACGATGCAGTTGTTTATTACTTTCTAGTTTTCAATTGAATCCTAACTAAAATCAGTTTATGATTTAAACCACGAAAAACAAAGCGTCGAGTGAGAGATTATTGAATAGAGTTTAAACACAAGGAGAAATCGTTGATTAAAAATTTATTTAGTGACTTTTTTTGTCCAATATAATGTGTGGAAGCTCATGGATTTGTATTGGGATTAATAGGAATATAAAGACTGGAAACTCCGAATACATTTATTAAAAGAAATAGTTATAACACAGATCCGTTTATTCAATGCCTCATTTCAATATCTGTGATTTATTTTCTTTTGTTTAACCCAAATTATTCTCGTTTATTTTGATATTACTTCACATCATTTTTCTTTCTTCGTGTTTTTTATACATCTAATAAACTTTTATGAAGTGTTTAAAAGATGCATCGTTCATAAACAATTTCAATCTATTCAATATCTGATGAACACACATTTTTCAACTAAGTAATACCAAACAGATATTTCCAAACTTCAAGCTATTTTTAGCCTGGGTACAATGATTAGTTTCTGTTTTCATAATTGATAGTGATCCATAAACGAGGCACTGTGTAAGTTCATCTACCATTTACAAAACGTTTACTCAGTAAATGTGAAATAGTGTTTATTAAACTACATTCATAGTCTTCGTAATAACAATGTTCAGCCTTATTCACATATATCCGTGTAAAACCCGGGTTCAGGGTTTCCTGTTGACTACCTCCAACCACCATCTAATCCGTGTAATTCATACATAACTACTACAGTGAAATCAAAGTCTATTTTCTTAAGATTAACTTAACCTATTACCGAAAAGCATCATTAATGAATAAATCTTGTGTATAAAATAAAGAGAAAAACATTATCAAGTATATGTGTGATAACTATTGCAATTTATTTATCATAACAAACATATGTTTACTGAGGTATCATAGAGCAATAAACAGCTGTTATCATCCATTGTAATACTAATTGGTAATTTGTATCTATGATATTGTCAAGAGATTAGATCTCGAGCTTTCAAATTTCCCAGCTAGTTTATTGTCTGAAAACTATTGAGTAAATATTCAATTATTCATATTTCTAATATCAGTCAATTAACAACGTTGTTTGACCGTTATTATCAATCAATTATTTAACAGTTACAGTAATCACTGATCAGTAATTACTATTATTAAAGGCTAGTGTTTTGTTACTTGGCAAGAAAAGTAAACATATGAATATAAATAATTTGAATAATATATCTATCTATAGAAAAGTAGTAAAGTTAAAGTTAAACTACAGAAAAAAAAGAACTTCAAAAGATCTCAGATACATAAATAACTAGATATTTTTGAAAATATCACAAACATCTCTTGATAACGGTATTGTTATTTTCATTATTTTATTTCAGACATATTAAAACTTTAGAAAATATCTAAAATTTATTTTAGCATATTTGTGTAGTTTTCAGAATATTTTTTCACCTTTGATTTTACAAAAAATAATTAACAAAATAATTACAAAAGTGCATAATTTAATCAAAACAAGTAGGAATAACCGCTAATATCTATAATAGATATACTGGTGTTGTTGTATACTAAAAATAAATGTGTTTATTCAGCATAATTTAGAAAAGAAGAACTATTCTAATTAAATTGAAGCATAGTTAGTTCAAATGTACTGATGACATATTTTGTATTGATCTAAGTCGTATTGATACAAAATATTACTTCTCTTTTACCATATAACACTATTTACTTTATTTATGTATGTTAATGTAAGGTCTGATGATGAAATATTCGAAAACAGTCGTTAGTTCATGTGTTCTTTACTTCTGAATACTCTTTGAGGATCTTTAAACTATAGTATACAGCTTCAAAGCATAGGTATAAATATTTACGCTAATAAACACGAACAATTAGTTCTATAATCATAATTAATGATAATAAGCGATATGATCTGTTTGTATGGTACACACTGTTGTAGGATTTCACTACTTATTCAATAAATTACACAAATTGATAATCATACAATCTTGACGAAAAACTATTCTATTAAGAAACAAATTCAGAAAAGCGATATCAAGTAACAGAATAAACATGCTTAAGGATAAATGCTTTCTCGCTTTTCAAACACCCAATAAAACCAATTTTTCTACAGAAATGAAGTTTTCTCTTAAGAGATAAACATTGGGATAAAAATAATTTTTTTAACAAGCTGAGCAACACAATTTGTTATTTTTTGCATCCTTTTTTTCAATCAAAACAGGTCAAAAAACGGTGGGAGTTTCTATAATTAGCAATGACACAGATGGGATATATATATATATATATATATATATATATATATATGTTCGCATTAACCATTCGCTTCTACCCATAACAACTTTATTTGTATTCAAGCATATGTTTAGAACATTGGACCTTAAATTAACGACCTTTATTTGTTCGGATATTCTTGCCGAAAGCAATGAAAATTTTTCTCACCATCAAAAATAATCAATGCATAATTATTTTTTATAGAGATAAACTTGACTTTCTGTACATTTTTGTTTATATCATTTCAACTGAAAGAAATTTAGATTGAGTGAATAAATGATTCTCTGATTGCCACAATAAGTTCAACTATAAGTCGTTTTAATAAATTTCCAAGATGAGAATAAATAAAACTTTATTATGCATAATTATTACATATATATATGCTCAGGTAATTTTCCTAATCGATAACCGATTTACCAACATAGTAACAACATTTGTTTATTTTTATTAAGATGCCCATAATGAAACGAGTGAAATTGTTGTAGTGAAACCAATATGCCACAACAATTGAACCATACTAAACATGACTCTTAAAGTCCCTATTTTTCTATTAGCAAAAACTGACAGAATCAAGGATTTGTGATACGAAATCCTGTGTTGGTGACTGTACGTAGCTTATAAGTTTACCATGGTGCATAATTCGTTTTTCCTAAACAGACTATAACCCATTAAGAAAATCAATTTTATTTGAAAGGTTATTTTGTCAAGTCATTAACATCTAAGAGCGATTTCTCAAAGTTCCTACAATTTTTATGTCTGGACGCACTGAAAGATGTTTTTAAATCAATCCTAAACGTCTTATCACTCATTTTCACTAACTGAGAAAACAGTTTATTGGTAAGCTTGAAATTTGTGTAACTCTTCCCTATTTCTTCAATGACTAGTAAGAAAGATCTTAGAACTGTGCAAGAACGTATATTTCCAGTAACTGTATTGTTAGGTACGGTAATAACTAATCTTGTCTTATTAACTCTATAACTTGCAGTTTAAATAATAATATCTGCAAAGGTTTTACACACACAGCCTAACATTATCATGATCTAGTCAATATGTTTGCATAAATTACACAGACACTGAATATTTGGCAGTATTGAACATTGATCGAATGATATTTCTAGCGGCGTCTTAAATTGCTTATCGATATTAAACTTTTCTTTGTACTTTATAATATTGATACGGTCTAAGCTCTCTCTTCCTAAACTAGGTTCTCAACAGTTAGTTTTTCTCATTGTTAGTTCTCTTACTGCCACTAAATGGATGCAGTTTATTTTTAACTCATCTTGTGATATTCATTTCGTTCTGCTATTCTGGTATGGCAGCTTTGACTAGCAGATATCTGAATCAAGCTCCACGTTAATGATTTCTAAGTTACCGACTGTAACTAGTGAAACCAAGAGACATCAAAGAAATAAAAGAAAAATTACCTAACGATCTACATCATAAAAATGTTTATGTAAATGAAGTACATAAAATAGACTTTTTAATGGAAACTGTAATAAATGACAGGTATCAAGTAAACATTATATAAGCAGAATTATACTAATTAAAATTTTCTTATAAAATAAAACATATATAATGGACATCAAAACTATTCTTATTTTCCCTCTAGTCTTCGAATTTTGACATTATTTCTCTCTGAACTAATGATTTCTTCTAGTTGCATTTAAACAAATTGTGGAAATTTTTTAATCTGACGTTTATCTCTGAATAACTGTATGCTTTTTAGAATTATAAATAACCATAGGTAAATAAAATCAAATTTTAGCTTGGACCGACCAATTGTTAAACCATATATCGTAAAACAATACTGCTTTAGTTAAACCGATTTCACAAATTAATAAATATAGACTGATTTTGATTACACGACTGATCTCTTTCTAGGATATACGAAAATTTAAGAAAGAAACAATTCAGGACGGATTGTTTGTATTTATTTGAGATATACTATTCATTCTTTTATTAGATTTTCGATAGTGTTTATTAATAAAATCCCAAAAACTATTTCAGAATGTATGCAAAATGAGTCTGTTCAACTTAGTTTAATTTGAGTGATGTTGTTCAAACTCAAAATGAAATACATCTTCAGGATTGAACTCAGCATTATCTTTTCTAAAGAAAAACATTGTTTACAATATAAACACAGGAAATAATATATCCTCTTATTATTGAGTTAATATGTAAACAGATATTTGTTAATCCATTATGAAACAGCTGTACAGTGCTTCCTGATTTTCAATAGTTTACTAAGATCCGTCCAATCTGTAAATTATGTTAATTCAGATTTATAAATTAACAAAAAAAGCTGAAAAGTACGTTCAAAGTGACTTTTTGTCGTTATACTGTTTTTATATCACTTCACGTGTTTTTACAATTAGTTTAGGTTGCTAGGTAACACAAAACGTACACACTTTTTTGCTATTATGGGAAACTTACAACTTTGTATGAG